TGAATTAAATTGAAACATTGATTGAGATAATTATGAATCTAAATACTCACTCACTGTAATATAATTTATATTGATTAATTTATAATTGAATGGATAATTGTAATATAATAATTGAATTTAATTGAAACATTGATTGAGATAATTATGAATTTAAATACTCACAAGCTGTAATTGATTAGTTTATAATTAATTAGGAATATAATTTATGCAAATTATTATTAGTAATAAATTATGGATTTAATTAAAATTTAATATAGCAATATGCCTACTCTTCCGATTCTTTCATTTCTTCCGTCTTTCTCGTTTCTCCGTCCATTATAAAAAAATTCACCTTTCTTTTGGCACAAAAAACCATTGCCTTGTTATACACGCACGAGAATAATTACTTTTAGAACTATTTACCAGATGTTTGGTATTTGGTTTTTGAAATTTTCTATTACTTGCAAGTTACAAAGTTACACCAATACAAGTTTAATTTTAACACAGTATAAGTTGATCAATTTTTTTTTGATCACATCATCACACATTTCATCAAAACACGACTAATTCAATTCAAAAATTCAAATTATTTTGACAAGAAAAAAAAAAAATAATTAACATGACAACAAATATGAGTATGAATTTGACGACGACGGCGGGTACCAGTAATTTTTTATATACTTGTAAATGGGGAAATTGTTCAGAAAATTTTGATTCCATAGGTTTTCTTTGGCAACATATTGAACGAACACACGTTGAAGCTTGTCAACCTCGACTTGTACATTTTATTGACGACGATGGTAATAATAATAATAATTATTTATAATTATAATTATAATAAATTAGAATATAGAATATTTTGATTTTTCTATCTTTTATTATTTTATTTTTATTTTTATTTTTTTATTTTTATTTTCTTTAAATCTTTAGATCTTTAGATCGTAAAAATGAATTAACCTCAATTTTTGAATATTTATATTTAGAACTAATGATGGATGCAACGGAAACGAATAATAACCGTATACAACCAGTAGAACCAACACCAACCGCACAATCATCATCATCATCAACATCAACAACAACGATGACCGCCGCACCATCAGTATCTTCTACTTCAACAGCTAATAATACTCCTTTACGTAAATCGAAAGTTACTTCTTCTTCTTCGACTACCACCAATGTGAATCCTAATATTAATTCGAATATCAATTCGAATATGAATGCTACCGCCATTATTAATCCTAATATGAATGTTATTAATTCCGGAACGTCGTCGTCTTTAAATAATAACAATATTCTTTCGACGAGTGGATCAGGATCGGGATATTCCGTTAATACTCCTGCTGTTAGTACTGTTAATATCGTTAATACTGTTATAACTCCAAATCGATCGAATATGTCAAATAGATCAAATAATTATACCAATAATTATAATACTGCTACTACTATGAATAACAGTAATCTTAGTAATATTAATAGTACACAACAATTAATATACTACCAATTACAACAACAGCAAAAATTGCAACAACAACATCAAAACATACAACAACAAAAATTGCAACAAAAATTACATCAGCAACAAAGAATACAACAAAAAATACAACCACATCCACAACAACAACAACAGCAGCAGCAACAACAAACATCACTTGTAGGTGGTGGAAGTGGACAAACTATCAATACAAGCGGAAACACTATAAATAATAGCAATAATAATAACAATAATATTAGTAATACATTTGCCGGAAGGTCACAATTAGTTAGAACTCAACCTGCTCAACCTCTTCCACTTCTCCCCACGAAGACAATAAAAGCAAATCAAAATGCAATCAATAATTCTGCCGTTGCCGCTGCTGCTGCTGTTGTTGCTTCCCAACAACAACAACAACTGATGCAACAACAACAACAACAACTGATACAACAACAACAACTGATACAACAACAACATCAGCAAGCACATCAACAAACACATCAGCAAGCACATCAGCAAACACATCAACAATCACAGCAACAACGTCAGCAAGTACATCAATCAAAAAGCCAACAGCCGCAATCACAGAAACAAAAATTACAGCATTTAGAAAAATTAGAAAAATTAACTCATCAACGATTAGCTAAACATCAACAACAAATGTTAGCTCAACAACAAATGTTAGCTCAACAACTACAACAAAAACAACAACAACAGCAACAACAACAGCAACAGCAGCAGCAACAGCAGCAGCAACAACAACAAAAACAACAAGTGGTTACAACTCAATTCATTATAGAATCAGCACAAGGAATGATTCAAAATAATCAAGTTTATGGATTACAACAAATACATTCAGTAACACCTTTACGTCCGAATTTATCAACGAGCACTTCAAATATAAACACATTAAATTCGAATAATAATAATAATAATACATTACAAACTTCTACACAATCAACTGCTTCTGGACAAACTGTAACAGCAACAGCCACGAATGCAAATACCTTAATCGTTAATACTGCTGTTAATGTTGCTGTTAATGCTGCTGTTAATGCTGCAGTCAATGCAGCAACATCAACAGCAACAGCAGCAGCAATACATCATGCTACGACAAATACGACGAATACATTACAACAATCCAATAATACCACTACAACTAATAATAATAATAATAATAATAATAACAATAATTCACCACCTCAAGGTCAAGCAGCACAACAACAACAAGTAGTAAATATTAGACGATCTTCAACCGGACAATCTTTACAAAAACAACCACAACAAGTCATTCAATCGCGACAACAAGTTGTCCAATCACAACAAGCAGCTATTCAACCAAGATCACAACAACAAGTTGTTCAGTCACAACAACAGCAGCAAATTGGTCAATCACAACAACAAGTATTAAATATTAGACGACCTTCAATCGGACAATCTTTACAAAAACAATCGAAACAACAAGCTATTCAACCACAACCACAAATACAACAACAGCAACAAGTCGTTCAGTCACAACAACAACAGACATTAAATACTAGGCGATCTTCGACCGGGCAATCTTTACAAAAACAACCACAACAACAACAACAAATTGTTCAATCACATCAACAGCATGTTTCTCAACAACAGGCTGCTCAACAAGTTGTTCAACAGCAAGTTGCTCGACAACAAGCTGTTCAACAAGTTGTTCAACAGCAAATTGCTCGACAACAAGCTGTTCAACAAGTTGTTCAACAGCAAGTTGCTCGACAACAAGCTGAACAGCAAGTTGCTCGACAACAAGCTGAACAGCAAGTTGCTCGACAACAAGCTGTTCAACAAGTTGTTCAACAACAAGTTGCTCGACAACAAGCTGTTCAACAACAGGTTACTCAACAAGTTATTCTACATCAAGCTGCTCAAAAACAAAATGTTCAACAACAACAACAATCCAGTATGAATAATAATAATAATAATAATTTGGGCTCAAAAGATGGTAATAAATAAAAAAAGAGTATTATAATTTATTTTTTTAATATAATAATCACAATAATAATAATAATAATAATAACAATAATAGCTAATAACAATAATAGCTAATAATAACAATAATAATGATGATGATGATATCTGTTACTACTATTGTTAAATATTTAGTAAGGATTATTAAATATGTATATAAACATTTTAAAAAATTTATTATGAAGTTTGATAGGAAACATTTATTTTTGGAAATTTCAATCAAAAGAAACAATGACAATTATATATACATCAATTTATATACATATGTATATACACAATGCTAGACAACATTTTAGACAACAACATAACAACATAACATAACAATATTACAACTATTACAAGTTTTTTTTTACTATCATTGTTTTTTTTTTTAATCGGTGGTTTCTTTTGTCTCATTTATTTGGTTATTTGGGTTATTTGAAATCTGAAACTGAATATAAATATATATATATATATATATAAAGGAATATACAAAATTTTATCAAGAAACTTAATAGTAAATAAATATAAAATAATAAATAACAAAATAGATATAGAAAAAATATTGCAAAAAAAAAAAAAATAATAATAATAAAAAAAAATAATTACATTGCATTGTATGATATATGATTTTTGTTAAAAAAAAGTTTTTTAATATATTTTTTTTTTATTTTTTTTTTTATTTTTTTGATTATTATTATTATTAAGTATTAAATAATTAATTATATTAAATTATAAATCGATCAACGATATAATATAAAAATAAATGAGATAAATAATAATATATAATATAAATAAAATATTTTGACAATTAAAAAAATTAAAAAAAAAAATTAAAAAAGTAATTTGACAATATTTCATGACATGACATGAATTCACAAGTATCTACATCGAGCATCAACAAAGTTTCGAACACCATTGTACATCTTTGTATATGTATATGTATATGCGAGTATATAAAAATATATCTTTATTTATTTTTCAAATATTTCTAATCATCATCGTCTTCATTCTGATCACCCTGATCGCTTTGATCACTTTGATAAGGAGTGGGTTGATATATAATTATTTCATCGGATGACAAAGGACCTAACATTTCATCAGGCCAACGATACTCATTATTATTATTATTGTCGTTATCATAATCATTATTGTTATTATTGTTGTTGTTATCATTGCTATTGTTGTTATAATTATAATAATATTCATCATTATTAATTCTACGATTAATTCTATTATTATTATTATTATTACTGTTATTATTATTACCAATCCTCGATACATTTGACGTGATTGAATTTTTGGTGGTGGTGGTGGTGGTTGATGATGAATTTGAAGGTTTCATGAATTCCATCTTTTGTTCAAATTCCATATTCGAAATATTCGCCCAATCAATTGAAGAATAAAGATCATCATCATCAATTGAGGTGGTAGGTAAATCCCATTCTGATCCATCCCCACCATTTATTCCCATTCCATTTACCCAATTTACCCATCCAAATATTCCACCTTCAAATATTCCATTCTTACTTCCATTATTATTATTATTATCATCATCATTATTTCCATTTCCTTCATTTCTTACAGAATAATCATCATTATTTCCAATTCCACCAAATGACGACGACGACGCCGTCTCACTCCCATCTCGAAATCTACTGCTACTACCACCACCACCACTATTACGACCACTACTATAATAAATGAGATTTTCATCATTATAATATTCGTCAATACTATTCAAGTGAGGTCGGGTCACCGAAAAACTATAAACTTCATCTTGTACCCATTGTTCCCAATTTTCCGTAAATGATTCATCCAATAATAAATCATCGGCATATAAATATGCTGCACTATTGTAATGATGATTATTATCATTATTATAATTATAATTATTATTATTATTATTATTATTGTTGTTGTTGTTATTATAATTATTATTATTATGATGACTGTTGTTATTGTTATTATGATGATTGTTTTGATAATGATTGTTATGATTATTGTGATTTAGGAATAATGATAAAGGCTTGGTGTGGTTGGATGGGAATGATTCTTCTATTATTTCATTGTTATTATTATTATAGTTATTATTATTATAGTTATTGTTATTTGAGTTGTTATTATTGATATAGTTGTTGATGTTGTTGTTATAATTATGATGATTCAAATTATGTTGTTGATGATGAGGATCATAATATTGAGATGAATAATTTCTTTCATTATAAAATTTAATTAAAGTTCGAAGATTTTGTTCATTTGTCTAAAATTATTATTATTTATTATTATTATTATTATTATTATTATTATTATTTGTTGAATTCGCATTTTATTCAAAGACGGGGAGAAACAAAAAGAGAAAAGGTGAGATAAATAAATAAATAAATTATTATTATTATTTTTCACGGAGAGAAATAAAATGATTTTTGATAATTAATTAATTAACTAAAAATAACCAATAAATCTAAATAATTAACTAATTAAATTCGGTACTTTACCAAAGCTTCTTCAACTTCAGCATCCGCATCAGTTGGTGCTATCCATTCATCCCTTAAATCAGGACGACAATTTAAATATATTGAAGTGATTATTTTCATGTTACCTATTAATTAATCATTTATAATTAATCAATTAATTAATTAATTAATTAATTATTATTATTATTATTATTATAATTATTATTATTATTATAAATATGATTGTTTATTTATCATTATTAAATTGATTATAATAAATTATCAATAATAATAGTTGTATAAAACTTACTCTGTCGCCATTTCCTTCCGATAAAAGGGATTTGATTTTTTAATACTTTAAGAGCGTATAATTCTAATAAAGGATGAGAAACTTTAAGAATTCGTTTCAGAAGTGCCTAAATGATAATTAATTAATAATTAATGATAATTAATAAATAATTAAATAACAATTAATTAAATAATAAATATATAATAAATATAATTACTGATGATTTATATTGAACCAACAATAAAATCCTATGCGTCTTTCTCTTAGTTAATTTTTGTAATATACGAAGGAAATTTATTGCCGTAAAGAAATTTCTCCAACAATAATCATCTATTCCATTATTATTATTATTATTATTATTATTATTATTACTATTATTATTATTATTACTATTAATATTATTGTGGTGGTGGTGGTGATTATTGAATGATTGAGATTGTCGTCGTCGTCGTTGTGGTGATTTCGCTTTTACATTATTTTCACCATATTCACTCTCTTCATTCTCTTCATTCACTTCATTCTTTTCATTCCCTTCATTCTTTTCACTCACTTCATTCTCTTCTTCATTCGCTTCATTCTTTTGTTGTTGTGGTTGTGGTGATGATGAAATCGTATCGGGATCAATATCACGAGTAGCATCAATATCAGTATCAGTATTAGTATTAGTATTAGTATTGGTATTGGTATTAGTATTGGTAGAATAATAATATTCCAAATTGGTTGTTGATGATTCTTCTTCAGGTGAATTCTTTATATTGATCTTATCCTTTTCCTTATTATTATTATTATTGATATTGTTATTGCTGTTATTATTATTATTATTATTATTACTATTTTTATTATAATTGCTGCTATAATTGTTGTTATTATTTGATGCTGTACAATATCGAAAGAAACTATAAAATAAAATAATTAATAATATAATAAAATAAAAAAAATAATAATAAAATAATTAATAAAATAAAATAAAATAAAATAAAAAAAATAAAATAAAATAATAAAATACATACTTAAGATCTTCTACTTCATTTTTGGCTTTAACAGTAACGCTCACATCTTGCAACCCGAACATTTTTAAAATTAATAATAAACAATTCGAATCAACCAAAAGTTGTGAGAAATATTCAAATTTCAGTGCGTCTAAATTTTTTTTTAAAAAAAATGATAATCGGAATAGAATAATTAAGAATAAATACACACATCTATATAAATATAAATAAAAAAAAAATACATATATATATATATATATAATGTAACGTAATGTAACGTCAAGTATATAAAAAAGGATACGAGATAATTTCAAATGTTTAAGTAATAATAATAAAATCGCTGATACCACTTTTGAAGTAATTTCACGATGTCTTAAAATGTCTATCTCTCCAATTGTATCATTATTATGATTATTATTGTTACTACTATTACTATTACGGTTTCCATTATTATTATTGTTGTTGTAATGATTTTCATTATTTGAAGTCGTTGTCGATGAATTTATATTTATCGAGTTTCCTTCATTTTTATTGATTTCATTAATTTCATTATTATTATTACCATTATTATTACCATTATTATTTTTACCATTATTATTTTTACCATTATTATGATGATGATTATGATTATTATTATGTATAGTCGTGACGGTGTTGTTTGTAGATGAGGATACTGTGGCTAATAATAGTTTAAGTAATACCACCACAATATTTTGTAATTGGGAAATAATTGAACTCTAAATTGTTAAAATTATTAAATATTTATTTATTTTTTTTTTTTTTGATATATTAGTTAAGGATAATGATAATAATAACAAAAAAAAATGGTAATGAAATAATGATAAAGAATTAAATAACAATAATAATAACGCAATAATAATAATAATAATAATAATAACGAAAAAAGAGGATACATAAAGTGTTTCAATTCTCTCCACTTTTTCTCTTTCCAAATTCCTCTTTATTTGTTGTTTATAATAATTATCATTATTCTTTTTTTGTTGACCATTTACATTATTTACATCATCATTATGTACAACACTCGAATCACTTTGTTGTTGCTGTTGTTCACTTACGCAACATTGTTGTGGACTTAACTGAAATTGCGAACTACCAATTTGACATTTTTTCATTTCTTCAATTTCTTTCCAACATTGCCAAGTTCCCAAACTGATATAAACAAATTTAAGATATAAATCACCAGCTTCTTGAATTGAATTCGGAACTTTGGGTGTTAATTCTGAAAATGGAAATATAAATGGTTGACGTTGATTGGTTTGAAATTGTTGTTTTCGTGATTTGGGTGCCGAATTACCATTATTATTACCATTATTATTATTGTTATTATTATTGTTATTACTATTATTACCACCATTGATATTATTATTATTGTTGTTGTCAATAATCCCATTTATGTTATTTCCATTACCACCAGTTATAATACTATTATTATTACTCACACCATTACTCATGCCACTATGACATGTATTATTACATGAATAATAATAATTATTATTATTATTATTATTATTTGAAAATGAAATATTTCCATTTCCATGAATGCAATTGGTGGAGTGAGAAGTATCATTAGCGGCGGTAGTAGTAATAGCAGTAATAATGGGACAAGGGGATGGAACATAAGTTGGATATTTTTGAGTTACTTCACTTTGAAATGTGTGATAATCCATTGGTGTTGATTTGGTTATTAATCCTGTTATGAGATTATTATTATTATTATTATTTATTATTTATTATTATTATTATTATTATTATTATTATTATTATATTATTATAGAATAAATAATAATAAAAAAATATAAATAAATTCCATAATTACCTTTACCTTTATCTTGGATCGGAGGTAATCCGTTAATTTCACGTATCACATTTTTTAAATTCTTTATTTCACTTAATTCTCCAATACTGGTTAAAATGACTTTCCATAACACTAGGAGTAACTTTTTTTGATTATAATCCAAATATATATAATATAAATATATTAGAGTTCAATGATGATGATAATGGTAATGATGATGATGATGACAATATTATTATTACATTATTGTTATGATGATTATTGTAATTATTAAAATTATTGTGATTATTTTATTATAACTATAATGAGTCGAACATACAAAGAATAATAATAATTCACCTATTCACCTTTTTGACAGGATAACCTTTAGCATTTTTTTCTTTTTCTCTTAGTGAAGCGATTAGATCAAAGAGAAATACGGTCATTGGTGGGTTCAAGTCGGCTATATTATTTATAATCATTAATTTATTATCGCTGCTATTATTATTGATAATTAATTAAATAAATGATTAATGATAATCGACAATCCATAGAATACCTAATTCCGTTCCAAAAGATTCATCACCTCGATGTACTTCAGTCAACATATATAATAATGTTAAATAAAATCCAATTTCCATATTAACATCTTCCATATACATTTGTCGTTCCGTTGTACTATCCGGACGACTAAATTATTAAAGAAATATAATTATAATGAATAATAATAAATGATATAATCGAGTATAATTTAAATGTGATCAAGATATAATTACATGTAGCATTCACAAAATTCACTAATGACAACATAAAATAAATATAACTAAATAGTGATAATATAATAAAATATAATAGTAATATAACATAATAGTAATATAATATAAGATACCTATAATGATCATGTACTCGACATGCCAATTTTAAAGCTTGAAAATATGATAATAAAGCTCCACAATTTCTTAATAATTTATTATTTTCTTTTATCCATTCTAATTGTTGTTCGGGATTTGTTAATTCTCCAAATGTTCCTAATTAAATTATTATTATTATTATTATTATTATTATTATTTCATTAATTATTTGATAAATTATTTAATTATTTAATCATTATTTTTATTATGATTTTTATTACCTTGAGCAATATACAAAAGTTTCCTCGCAGAAGAAAATCTTTTGGCAGGATCTTTTAATTCTAATGTTTCTAACAAATACTCAATACATGTTCTACGTTCGGAAATTGTACTATTTATCCACGCTGAAAAATTTTTTTTTTTTTTTTTAATCAAAAAAAATTCAATTCAATTAATTCGATTCGATTAATTATTTTTTTTTTTAATTCAAATTTGATTAATTATTTTAAATTAATTGAATAAATTGAATCAATAATAATAATAATAATAATAATAATACGTTATATTAAAAATAATACATACATCCATCAAACCATTCTTCAAAAGTTTTTTTATTTTCCAAACATTGAGAAATTTCGACATAACTATAAAATTCATCAATCTCTTTGTAAAAGTTATCACTATCGGCATAGGTGAATGTAAATTCTTTTTGCTATTTTGAAATATTAAAATTTAAATTCAATTAATTAATTAATTAACGTAATGTAATGTCGTAAGTAATGTAATGATAATAATTAATGTAAAATGTCGTTGTAAGTAAGTAATTAATTTAATTAATTGTATTTAATGCAATTGCAATTAATAGTACCTTTTGCTTGTTAGGAAATTGCTTTACGAGTTTTTTCAATTGACCCAAAGTTAATGAATCATTAGTTGTTATTTCTTCGGGTGCTTGATACATTTGTCTTTGTTGCTGTTGTAATTGTTGTAATTGTTGTAATTGTTGTAAATGTAGTCGCGTTCTTGTTGTTAGAAGTTGTGGTTTATGATTGTAATGCAGTTGCAGTTGTTGAAGAAATCTCTAATTTCAATATTAAATTTTCAAAATTTTTTTCTTCCAAAAAAAAAAAATAATTTATATAAAGAATAGATAGATAGATAAATATGATAAAATTAATAATAATAAATTTGGATATACATGATGATTGATAGTAAGTTAAGAATTATTTTAGAGACATTTGACAACACATAAATATTTTAACAATATTGATGTGACAAAGGTTAAATTTGTATATGATGTCTTGTCTGTAAAGAGTTTAAAAGATTTTTTCAAAGTATGGGGTTAATAAAAAAAAATAATTATTATATAATCGCTACACGAATACGTACAAATAATTAAAAAAAAAAGTTTAAAATTAAAGGAAATTACGCACTTACGTAATGCGACGTCTTCTTGAAATTACCAGTTACTACTACTACTTTTTTATATTTTGATCCAAATTTATATGTAAATAAACAAGTTCGGTTGAAATTTTAAATTGTAATTATGCCTAGAAAAGAATTAAAACTCAACTATCTTCTGCATTAACACATGATGTATGAACACAAGTTGCATATCTATATTTTTTTGAGATGTATAAAATTGACATTTTCTTTTTTTCCCGAAAAATTCTTTTTAATTTTGTGTCTAAGGAAATAATAATTTATTAATTTAGTGTTGCTTTTTTTTTTTTTTTTTCTTCTTTCTTGACTATCATCAACTGGATATTACTTGATTTTCGAAGATTTGCAAACCATAGTCAGGTCGTCAAAAATTATCCATCTGGCGTAAATAAAATAAGACAATCAAAATTTTTTTTTTTTTATCCCACCTTGATCAATCAATATAATATGGACAAAAAACTTAATTACGCCTAGTCGTTTTAATAATGTTTCTTTGTATATGACGAATATCTTTGAATTCATAACAGAAATATTTTACAAAAAAAAAAAAAACATTGAATATTTTAAAAATTTTATTTTTAAAAATAATATCATTAACAATAAAATATGAATAAAATAAAATAAATAATAAATAATGTTAAACTTATATAAATTAAAATGAATATTATTATAATAATTATTTCTCCGAAAAATTCGACATTTTTGTAACGGCTAAAATATTATGTAAAATAATTATAAAATTAAAAAAAAAAATATCTAAAAATATTTAAAAATCGGGTACGTATAATTCAGATGCAACTAAATTAAAATAAAAAATAAATTAATATTTTTAATTATAAAAAAATAAAATGGACGAGAATATTGATATAATCATCGCTTACCAATACTTAAAACAGAAGTAGAATTAAATTTTGTTAATTCTTCAAGTTCATTTTCAAAATTTTCATCATTCTTAGGTTTCGGAAGATTTGTGTAATTGAGAAGTCTACTGGTATAAATTGCTTCTGGATGGGTTTTGTTATTCATTGGAGTTGGAGTTGTTGAATTTGTTAATCTTAAATTTTTGGATAATTTTTCAGAATTTTCAATTTGAATAGTAATTTCATTATAATTTTTGTGATTATTTTCC